TTCAGTCATATTGTTCAGATAAGGTACTACAACCACCGCCCGGGGTTTGTCAACTTTCTGCAGGTCTGATGTTGCATTACCACTATTATGTTGCTGTAATCGTACCCGTTTCATTATTTTATTTTTTATGTTATTAGGGTAATGGCTATTCAATAAAATTTGTTCCAATTTATTAATATCATCGTGATTAACTGTATAGTTATTGGCTGCTAAAACTCTGTCTGTCATGTTATTCACAATATTAGTCTTGATAGCATAATTGTGATTTGATTTGTAATCTAATAATTGACTATTAGCCATTGGTTTTCTGTACCAAGATGTCTTCAGTATTCCGTTATCTAAATGGATCATAACGTCTAAAAATGGAAGTTTGTGATCTATTTCAAATTCAAAAGTAAATTTGATATTTTTATTTCTATCGATAGAATTCATGTCATCCACCAGTTCACCGACTTGTGACTTAGATAAGGATGATATCAGAATAAAGTCATCCACATATCTTCCTAAATATTTGTAAGGGTATTTATTATGATTCCAATTCTTATTAATGAAATTTTGAATTACAATATCCGCTAATAATGGTGAGAGAGATAAGCCCATGGGGAGGCCATCTTTTTGTTTATACCATAAACCACTTTTAACAGGTATTTGAACATGCTGAATCTGTTGATGTTAGCTTTCTTTGATTTTCACTTTCATCACGTCGTTCTGAAAAACCTGAATTTTGAGTTAACAAGTTTTGGGGACATCTTAACGATCCATTTTTCGTATTTTTTATTCTTTTTTGTTTGATAAATTAAATATTGACGAACGTAAATTTTTTAAAGAATTATATTAGAATTAATTGCATAAATCATCATCCATCTTTAAGTAACGGTTAGTATTAAACAAAATCAGATTCTGTATTGAAAATTCCGTTTATGCCTTTATCAATCTTGGATAATCAGACTGAGAAGAGGACAATTTATATCTTCCAACTGTTTCGAGAGACGACGGAAGGAAGAGGCGAGGTTTGATGGTGCCGAAGAACAAAACAGAACTATTCGAATCGTCGTCGTATTGGTGTAAAGTAGATCGTCATGCTTTCAGAATATAGAAAAGACTTTTCGGTCAAGAGTCCGTGAATTGCTGATGAACGTTACTTGTAGTATTATGCGTACCAATAGGATTAAAATCAGATGTTTATAGTATTGAAGATTGTTGAATAAGTATTGTTAAATTTTAAAATATTTAATTATATTAATTGTAAATAAATGCTTGTTTTTACACAATTTTAGGGCTTTTACGAAAAACCTCATAACTCCCGCAGAAAGCAACTCCTCATAGAAATGTGCTATTCATATACATGTTCGAAACGTGGTTGCAATAATTTTGGTAACTGAATGTGTCTAAATAATTCTTAACCGTAGCAGAAAGTATAGAAATGTAGTGTTGGGCATGATGCTTGTCAAAACATACAACAAATTGCCTCCAATGTCAACGATCCTTATTAGTTAAGTTTCTCGTTTTAAATTTTATTTAATAAATCGACATTATCTTTGAAAAACGGGTAAAAGTAATTCATTTGCTTTAAATGAAATCTCTTTCGAAACTAAAAAAATGATGAGTAAGTTTAATACCACTTTGACTGAATTATTCTTTTTGTCTTTAATTGTTTACGTGTATTACAGTAAGCAGTTCGAAATGAACGTATGCACTCTCCCTATGATACTTTGAATAGTTTGTACAAAAACAATTTGTTTTATATATTAACAACTAAACAAATACATATAACTTTAGTATACAGTACAAAAACCAAACGACAAACACAAGCGAAAAAGTTCTTCATCGAAGGAAGATAACAACAGGTAACAAAACACTGAGAAAACTAGTTTGTTCTTGATAAAAAAAAGACTTAGAGTAAAAACACGTCTAGGATTTTTCTTTCTTCTTTTTCTTTTTATCCTCCTCTGCTTCACTTGCACTCTAAAAATGAAAAGACAATGTACTAGCCAACAATCTCAAATTTTTAGAACTTTAACTTACACCGCTGGATGACGTTTTCTTCTTCTTTTTCTTTTTCGATTTTTTTGCTTTTTTTGATTTTGTTAAATTAGAAGTAGGGACCGTTGGTGGTACATCACCACCTCCATTATCACTGTCTTTTGCTTCACCTTCACTTTCATGATTTGATTCGGCAGATTCATCAGCCGTTTGTTGAATATCAGGAGGTAGTACTGGAACAGGTTCTGTTATTGTTTTCTTTTTTTTTGATGAACGTTTTTCTTCTTCATTTACACTTTCATCTGTATCCTAAAAATGAACAGAAAAAAAAGTTATGAAATAGATAAAATTAACGCAGCTTTTGAAAACATAATATAACACTCGAAACTGCGTATAGTTTAACTTGATGTAAGTTCCTTCCTTGTGTGTGCGTGTAATACATACACTTTGATTTGTTTGTTGAATTGCTTGTTTTTTCTTCTTTTTCTTGTCTTTTCGTCTTTTATTTTGTGTATGAGAACAGGCTTGTGTTATCGTCGCCATGTATTCTGAGAATAATCGTTGACGCTCTGATTCCGGTTGAACAGCTTGATAATCTTGATCCGATTCTAATTGAATTTTGACTTCATCCCATTTTGTATTCTCATTTAAATTTTCTAATTTTTTTAATAGTTGTTTAAAATTTTGTTCCAAACGTTTTTGCTAAAATAAAGAGAAAAAAAGAAATTTTTGACATTTTATCCAAAGATATGTACAATATTGTCAATTAAAATCCATACTAAACGTACTTTTCGTGCTTCTTCTTTCAATCGTTCTTTTTCTTTTGCTTCCGCCTTTTCAATTAACTAAAATGAAAACGAAAACTGTTGACACTCTAATCATAAATGAGTAGCAGTGCATTTATACACCAAAATGAGAGAAAATAAACAATTCTATGTAAACATTTTAGCGAGATATCAAGTCTGGGTCATTAATAGACAGTGTCGTAAAAGATTCATTATTATTTACACTGTTATAAGTTAATTTAATATTTCCTGCATCTAATGTTGTTGCTCGTTTATCAGTTGAAATAATTTCTGCAAATTTTTCAAATGTTGCATCAGTTTCGACTGTAAAACCTTTATCCTTCAAGATTTCTTTAACAATTTTTTTCTCATCATGAAATCTGGCTTTTAGGTCTTCGACATAAAATTTAAATAAATCCAGTGGAGTTGAACCTGAAACAAATAAAATAAGAACAATTTATGTCAACATTATAGAAAAACACATACCTGGTTGTCCTAACATTCGAGTAAAGCGGTCATCACTCGATATGACACTAAATAAATCGACCCATAGAGACATTGAATGCAGTTTACCTTGATCATGTAATTCATCCAAGAAATACTAAAAATAATAAAAGAAAAATTTTCTCATCTTATTCTAATTTAAAAAAAATAAAGATTATTACCAAAAATGCTTCTCTATTTTTTCGATAAGATCGTCTAATATACTTTCTTTGTGCTTCCATTTCTTCTTCATGTTCTTTTTCTAATTGTCGAATATGATCTTCGAATACAATCAGTGCATCCTCTTTATCCATATCTAATAACAAAGAAATTTAAATTTGCAATCAAAATTGATTTGTTTAAACGACTCACTCTGCAACTCTGTATCGTGAACAAATTCAACATTATCCAATAGCAACCGCTGTGCTCCTTGCCATGTTGTACGAAACGTTACTTTTGCCATATTCTCAAGAATATCTTTCAGTGCTTTAACATTGCGTTTTTTCAATGCTTTTGCTTCTTCCTAAAATAAAGGATCTCATGCATTATTTTGATTACTACGTAAACAATGTAATTCACTTTTTCTTTTTTCTCCAAATAATTGACAACATCCTCGTATAATTCTCGACGTTCTCGTTCTGGTACAGATGTCCAAATATTCAAATGTCCAAACATTTGTTCAGCTTTTTTATACTTGATTGTTGAATTCATATGTTCACATTGTTGTAGATACGTTTCAAATTCTTCTTTCACTTGTTTTAACTTGATTCGTTCTTGATCTTTGTCTTCTTTAATTCGTTGTACTTTATACGCATTGAAAGCTTGTTTCTTTTCATTGATATGTTTTATTGCTTGATATCGAGCATCATTACCTATAAAAAAAGATAAAAGAAAATAACTTCTCAACTAAACGGATACTGCACGTTTTCCATTGAAACGAGCTATAAAAAAGAATCTATGAGAACTCTTACCTATCAGTTTCAGCGCTTGTTCCCATGTTGCGGTCGATGGGACATTTTTCTCTCTTAACAATTCTTTGAATGCGTCCATTGCTTCTTTCTTATTTTTGAATTCAATTTTTGGTTGACTTTGTGGTGTATTTGCTGCGCTTCCATATTCGCTGTTATTATCATCATCTTGACTTGCTCCACCGTCCTTCTCATTATCGGTGTCTGTATCATCTTGACTCTGACGACTATTCTCATTCGATGGCAAATCAATTTCTCCCAATTGCTTCCCATCTACTGCGGTGAGACTAGGATCAAATGGTTGCATAGAGTTCATCATTTGAGGAGAAATACCAAATGGCAATATTGAGGGCATCATACCGAATGGGTTGCCCATAGGAGGTAACGGAGCCGCCGCTCCTGACTGCGCAGCACTAGAGTACATGAAAAGTAAAGTTAATCGTGCAAATAAACTTCATGCAAATAGCCCTAATTGATCTATAATTTATAAACGTTGCTTATAGGCTTGAGTTTGCGCAATCTCTGCCTAATTACTATGACACCACCATAAGCGACTTTTGAAACAGAGGGTGGAAAATTCATTTTTAGTAAAGTAAAAGAGATCTCTCTCTCTCTAAACATCCACTGATTGAATTCATTGAAAAGTGTGATTGTTTAACTAAGCTATAAGTCAACTGACTTTTCTTACTTTTGTGCATTTTGTTCTTGTTGCTGTTGCTGTAAAAGCTTTTCTAAGTCTTCAAATTCTTTTGGTTTTACCCATCGTGATTCTTTCGTTTCTACATTATGAAAATATACTCTTCCATTCTGCGCTTTATATTCTCGCCATGGACATTGGGCTAACATTAACTAAAAATAAAAAACATTTTTCTTAATCAGTGAACGGACAGTAATAATAACTATTCACCACAGAGTAAGTGCAGGCTAGGAAATTCTATTAAACGCATAACAAAAGGCGAGTTAGCTGATAGCGTATAAATTTCCTATTAGCGTGTCCCATTACAACCCCTATTACAATGATCAAAATTACCTTGAAACATTTTAAAAACTTATTTACTTTTCTTTCCAGTAGAGAACCAAGCCTAGAGTATAATGCTAGTTACTACTCGCGATACAGCTGGAAAAAATTGCATACTTTGTTAGCCTTAGCATGTATGTAGTTCTTGATGATATCAGCTCATTGGCAGATAATCGTTTATTTTTACTTAAACAACTTCATCCATCGAAGTTGTTTGAGTAAAAATCGACAAGGTGCACGAAAAACGCACATTTTTTCTATCTGCGTATATATTATTTTACAAAAACGAAAAATTAAAGCTTTTTACTTCAACTTGTGTTTTGAGTTCATCTGGTTTGTCCCATTTTGACTCTTTGGATACACTATTATAATAATATGCTCGTCCATCTGGTGCTTTGTATTCGGTCCATAAAGATTTTTTCGCATTATCTGATAATTGAGGACTAGCATAAATTGTTGAACCATCTTCAGACTAAAGAGAAGAAAAACAAATAAAAAGAATAGAATTGACTAATGGAGATGTTAGTACTTACTTTCATTGATCCACCCACTACAAAAAAAAAGAGAAATCAATGTAATTCATATTGAAATATATTTATTAAGTGATACAATGGACTAGATTACTTCAGTTTTCAGATAAACGAGAAACTACAACCTACACAGAATAGTATAAAACTAGTAGATATGGCCTTGAACGATCAGGTAGCGTGTTCACCCTTATGAAAAAATAATCTTGTGGAAAGTTACATACTTTGTTGAAATCCAGTGACAGGTGGTGGAGGTGGCAGAAAGGGAGGCATCATTGGCATCATTCCTCTTGGACCCATCATTGGAAAACCTGGAAAGTATCCGCCTGAATTCATCATATTATTCATCTACAAATAAATAATTTTCTCTTAGAAAATCACATGTAAGAAACTCGTATAAGTATTTTTTTTCGCTGTGATATAATAGACCATCTAAAGCTTATAAGCTGTCAAATATAAGTGTCAAATGTACTAGTAGTGATAGCAAAATACAAGAGATGAAACTTGTCGACAAAATGGTCTAAGAACGAGAGCCGTTATTCCACCGACACAAGACGATCTGTTTACGGTATACCATATGCACTCCATTTCGATTACACCGGAACGGTCCACTTTTGACAGTTAACTGATGTACTTGAAACAATTTATGGTAACGTTAATGGACCGTCATGACGGCGTTTTTTTGATATTGTTTTCGTTCTTTTCTTTTCGTTTGGTATTTCGCCAATAGAATAGTACGATTCAAAATGAACCACTTATTTACCGTAAAAATTTCGCTTATGCTATATACAACTAAGAATCAACGATGAAATACACGATCCTTAATTTCTCAATGACTCACTCATTTTATCATAAACTGTCAGGTTCTACGTACGTCCAATAAGGTCAGGTATAATAGCTGTCACTACAAGTTATTAAGATATAAATCGGTTGCTTTAAGTCGAAGAAGCTTCCAAGTAATCTGACTAATATTTGGGACTAATTCAAATTCGCTGTCTAGATAGCTGTAGAGACCGTTGCTACGAGACCAGAACAGACAAAGATACGAAAATGCAGACTTGCCGTCCATAAATGTTTAACTTATTAGGACTACCTTAAAGCGGGTGTTTCTTACTCAATTATGAATAACGATGGTTAGTGCTTTGTGTGTTATAACCAAAATACGATATTTCAAATTAAAAATAGATTTGTAGTAGGATAGTTCTATACGGTTCCATCCAGAACAATAGTCTGAAGAAGCGGAACATTTTGCATGCATGTTCGTTAGTTCAAGTTAAGAGAAATCGGTTTGTACTACAGATAAAATGATTTGTCCTGATATAAGCAGAAGGAGAGGCAGCGGCTGTAAAAGAAATATTCAGCAACCGTTTTTATTTTTTCTTATGCGCTCAAAACGTATGAAGTAAACGTTAGATGCTTGTTCCAATGATATGGTAGAATGTTTCGTCTGAGGACAGCGTTACTTTCAAGACTGAGTTTTCAAAATGGCTAACTTGTAGTAAACCTAAAATGAAAATTTATAGGAGACTTCCATGTTTTCTGTGGAATAGCGATTTAACGAGATTTACAAAAGTCACCGGATGCGTTTAGTTTCTTTTACTGTTTTAATGACTAGTCTTCTGTAAATCCGCTCGACACCCTACATTGGCAGATCTAGGTGAAATATTACTTGAAATATTTCTCCGATGACTTAAAACTATGCTAGTAGTAAGTCATTTATGAAAAGAAACTAGAATGTTGGATCTGATAGTCAATACTTCCGAATACATGTACCGTACACTATCTCCGCTTCCAGAAAAATGAATAATTTACTAGAAGAAATTGCTAAAAAAACCATCAGTTATTTCCATGAGAACCTGTGCTATTTATAAATGTCTTATTATCTTACTTTTTTATTAGCATTATATTTCTTATTTTTTTAGAGCAACTAGAAAATGCGTCAAAGTCTTCGCCGCATTCCCCATCCGGAAGTGACTCTGGTATTGGTCATGAAGAAGTTCATACTGCTGACTGTAAGTAGATAGACAAAAACTGCCGACTAGGAATCAAGTATTAAGCTATGTTTTTTCAGATGACGAAACATTTGAGCTTCCATCTGGCTGGCCACAATTGGATTTTCACAGAAAAAAAAGCTGCATTTTAAACCGAATATTTTCAACGTGTATTACCAAGGCAATCAATCATTTAGAAGCAATATCGAACGCAATCGAAACACAGTATAATAAAATTTATAGAAATATGATCAAAGGGTAAAGTAATTTCTATAATTATTTCAGGCAAAGTGAAATTCAAGGAACTGGAGAAAAATATTCTCGTACTCCAAGTGCTAGTAAGCATCATAATTTGTTTTATTTTTCAACATTAATGTCATATTTTTTTAGAAAAAAAACAAGAACTTCATTTTGCAAATAAATCAGAACAAAACTTGGAAATAATTGGTTCTAGTGGACAAATAGGTATATTTTATTAAGTTTTGGACTGTATATATATTTGACCCTATTCTTTTCTCTACTTAGATAATCGTACAATATTGTATAAACCGTTAACAGTTAGACTAAATCCACCGCTATCGGCTGATGATGTTCTCGACGAAGTTCTTGTTTTATTCGCTCGATTAGACACCGAACGTTTAAGATTGATTAAATTATGTGAATATGAAAGTAATTCAAAAGTTAAATTAAGAGAAAAAATAGATCAATGGAGAATAAAACGATTGTATGATTTACCTGTAGCAGTGCAGAAAGGTAAGTACTAAAAACACAAAATAAAATAGAATTCAATTCAATTATCATACTCGCGAGTGAACCATTTCTGTATACCTAATTTTTCTCTACTTACAAACCGTCGTTCTAGGCCGAAAAGATACGGAATTTTGTTTACTTGCAGATAGTATGTTTGTCTTAGAATAAATCCTTATGCCCTAGTGAAACTTCTTCTACCCAAGATCTTGAGTGAATCGAGTCAAAATGTTTGAAAGTATTGTGATGAAAATTTTGCTCTAAGAGCTCACGTTTGGCGTAGATAAGTCCTCGAAGATGTAGTGTCAGAACCATAGTAGATGGAGGTGTGGAACTTGCACCAGGTTGTAGAGTAATATCTGCTCTATACTCACATGTATTTANTGACGGAGTTTATCATTTTCAAAGAAAGAAACCATAAAGATTAATTGTAAGCTAAGCATATCATTGAAAAGCAGATAAAATTTCGCATCCTTTTCGGTCTAGAATGAAGGTTTTGTAAGTGGAGAAAAGTTAGCTATACAATAACAGTCTACTTTATCTGATCTATCCGTTATTAACATTTGTAATCGGTATTATTTTAGAACATGAAGCGTGCACAGCCGATATAATAGTCTAGTTGAAAAAATGTCACAGAAAATTGATCTGGCTCAATCATGGTGGAGACAACTAGAAGTGGAAGTGAAAGATATTCAACAAGCAATACCATTAATAAAAGAAAAGGTTCAAACAGAATTAGTGACAATGGAAAATGTTACCGAAGCATTAAATGAAACCGAAGATGAACTACAAATATGTCGTGAAAAAAATTCGGATGCTTTGGAAAAATGTACAAAAGCAAATCAACGAGCCGCAACAGAGAGGGAACAAATCAGTTTAGAAATTGAGCAATCAACAAAACAGTTAAATAAAATTAGGTATATAGACAGGCATTTGTCATTTTGTGTTTCATTAAAAAAAAAGGTTGTGTTTTAATGAAACTCACGTCCACTTTTCAACCGTACAGTGACTCTTAAAATACAACTGAGTTATTACTGTTCTTTTGTAGTTCACGACTTCAAGGATCGATTGATCAACATCGAACATATGAAAAAACGATAAAAGATGCTGATGATATTGTTAAAAGAAATGAGTTATTATATAATACAGAAGTGAAAAAGTGTGAGAAAGCTAGAAGTGAAGGAACTAGTTTGAAATTAAAGGTAAGATACTGACTTATTTGTATTTATACATGTTTCATTTTCATTAAAATGGATTTTAGATGTTGAATATTGAAAATGAACGTCGACGTTTACAGTCGGAAATTGAACGTTTGAAACAACAAAACACCTTTTTGAAAAATGAAAACCAAATGAAAAATGACTGGTATCAAGAACAATTAGATACAATTAAATCGAACATGACCAAGAAAGAAGAAAAAGTAGATAAACTAGTTAAGAAATCGAGACAGAAGTCAACATTGATTAACGAGGAAGAAAGAAAATTAGAGAAAGTCAATTTGTAAGTGGACACCACACAACCGAATTAATTCTGAGTTGGATTTAAATGCTGAAACTTGTCTTAAGTTAACTTAATGACATTGACAAAATGAGAATGATGCTCTGGCTTCACGCATTTAGGCTTCTTAGTGTAGTCGATTTGAATTAAAGAGTGTTCAATAAGTTGCCGGTCACATTCTTCTAACATACTTTCAGTCACGACCTAAATAAATTTCTATTTTCTGTTGTTGTTTTTAGACAAATCGATCGTGATAAAAAAACGTTAAGTCGTTTTACTGGGCAACGCGATCGTGATACTGAAATGTTGAAAACTGTCACAGAAAATTTGACGCGAGCATTTTTAACGAATGATTCAATTGGCAATGATATGAAACGTGAAACAGATCGATTAAAAAAAAATGAAGAAGGAATGAGAGTAAGACTTCGTTTTCAACTGCATCTTTCGATTTTGTTATACTTTCTAAGAAATACGACTTCAACAGTGACCCAAAAGACGTTAGATGGATTCGACGATTCGTCTCAACGGTTTATTATTTAAGTCCATGCCCATCAGACATACAAAACTTCGTAAAATAGTCGATATTGAGATATTGAACTAAGCACATCAACGGGTAGCCCGCGGTGTCTATTATCAAAATTCATAATGATTTGAGCTTTATTCAAGGCTCTTGAAGGCTTCTGGAACACTTTTCTAAAAGCCTTGTAAAGGTACCTTTCCCACGAAACGAGCTGTGTCCATAGAAAATAAAAGCCAAAAATATTTTCAAGTTTGTATCTCGAAAACGACTTCTACCGTTACAGCAGTTCATATTTGTAGAAATTTTCGGGCATTTTTAAGTACTGGAAAGCTTTGGTTCGTCTCAAATTGAAGCTAAGGCATCCAGACATGGTGACTGTGCTCGATTTTAGATATTTTGCTTTGAATGTGAATGTTTTTCTGTTAATTAAGGCAATGATCGAGTCTCTTCGTCGTCAGATGCATGATGAAGAAAAAATAATTGAAATGTTAAAGACAAATTGTTCAGCAGATCAAAATGAAGTTGATATAATGACAGAAGACGAAGGTACAAGATCAGAAAATGTAAGAACTTTTTCAGAAGTA